GAGGGGAGGGGAGGGGAGGAGAAATTGGTTATCCTAACAGAAAACTTAAGCCTGCAGGGTCAAGTAGATGGACCAATAAGCATCTATTGCTGGGCTTCATGACTATCATTCCCCTCCTACCAATCCCATCTCCAGGAAGTCCTCTCTGACCCTAATTCATTTTGACACAAAAGTACACGAAGTAACACCTAAGGCACTCCTAAACAAACAACTTTTTAACTAGACAGTAGATAAATTATACTACTGTTGGTCACTCTGCTTTTCATTAAAATATCACAATATCTAAAATTTTTACTAGGAAAAAATGAAATTTAAAATCATTTTTTTCTTAGCTTCAAGACTTTCCATGCCCATGTTTTCTGGATGATGTTTCACTATATCTTTTCAAACTCTGAATAATATATTTAAAAAAAACTCTAGACCCAAGATTGAAGGATTTTATGTTGAAGAAATTAAAGCAAAACATGCAACTATGAAATGATCTAGGAATAAATTCAAATTGAGTATAAAGTAAATACAATGATTCTTTATAAAGACAAAATTACTTAAAAGTGGATTAGTATATCCCTGAATGTAAAATACTCAGAAAAATTAAAGAATTTCTAAAGGGAATAATAATAATCACAAGTAAATTGGTTCCTTTTAACAATGGTGTAATTCTTTTTTCAACTTCTCTACTGCTATTAAAATAATGTGAAATAACCAAAACTAAACAACTGATTTGTACTGATACTAATAATTTGTCCTGGCACCTGTGACCAATAATCTGAAATGTCATGCACTGGACTAAGCAATGCCTAACATATTAGTAAAACATTTCCCTGAGTGTATCTAGGTGGGTCATAGAAGCATGGTCTTAGAATCTACAAAAGGCCCCTGGCCACTTGCTCTCTGGCACTGTTCTCTGGCAAGAAGCTTCTTTGCTTCCTCAACCTCTTCTGCCATGAGGGTTTTTGCCCTGTAACCAGCCACATCATGTACTGAATTCTAGAAACTGGGCCAGTTAATCCTCTCCTCCTCCACTTTGTGGGTGCACAATCTGTATTGTTTCTCAGTGATGAGAAAGCTGATTAACACAATGCACAAGTATTTGAACTGTTTTCTTTCTGAGGGAAGTCCAGAATATACATGTGAACAAATAAATATTTACACACTACAGTCAGTGCATCTAATTCTTTTTTCTTTATTTTTTTTATTTTATTTATGAGAGAGAGAGAGAGAGAGAGAGAGAGAGAGAGAGAGAGAGAGAGAGAGGGGTGTGTGTGTGTGGCCAACTCAGCCCACCAGGGGGCGGGGCTGGCTGGCATGTGGTGCTGGGGGATTGAACTGCGGTCCCTGATGCTTTGCCAAGCTTGTTCTAAGTAGGTGCCTTAGACCACTGAGCCATCTCTCCAGCCCCAGTGCATCTAATTCTAAATTAGATGACTCAACTGTCTTTGCTTTCCCTTTGCGTATTTATCTCACATGTGAATATGTACAGTAATCTTCCCTTAATTCTATACAAACGATAGTCTTTCCCTAATTATATTTATGGAGCTCAATAAACCAATAAAGTATATGATAGTTTGAAAATAATTCACTAAAGAAAAGATATTAAAAGAAGTCCTTGCATGATTCCTCATGTAGGTAAAGCACTCTATTCTGATGACTGCTAAGTTCAAAATCACTTCTTTTTGAACTGGAGTGGCATTCTAGAGGCCACAGCACTTGCACCAAAAGCATTAAAGTAATTCAGCCACACAGTATCAAGAACCTTCAGAAGTAACCCAGGCTCCCAGGCAAAGCCTCCATGCATACTTAGAAGAAAATAAGAAAACTCTCCTGGCAGCAGGCAGAGTGGCAGCATTTTCTGTCATCGTGTTTTCATTCCAGTGCATGTAGAAATCTCAGTTGAGCTCACTGAAGAGATTTGGGTAGGTAGTGACAGACAAAACTCCTGCGGAGAACCATTTTTAAAATGAAAGTTCAGGAAGGACACACAAATGAGATAGAGTAATTCTTGGATATATATATATATATATATCCCTAAAAATTGAAAAATAATCATAATAATTTAGTTAACTTAGTGTTCGTAATAAAGACACTATGTTTAAGTCTTTTACCCAGGACAATATCAGCTCTGAATCACTTCTCAAGGATAAGTGAATCCACTCACTCACCTTCAACTTTTACAAATATGTCAAGGATTAACGTAAAGCTGAACCATTATTCATGAAACAAAGTATTTGTGTTCACAAATAATCAGGAAGTCTAGAGATGTGAGCAACCCAGAGACCTCACAGATGAGAAAATGGAGCCCATTTAATTAAAGACATTTAATATTTATAGGCATACAATGTTGGAAAGAATCTCAAAAATCGCAAACTGCCCTCCACTTTGGAAATATGAGTTTGGCGGCCAGCAAGAACGTCCCATGGCTGCATCTTACTATCTTATTCCCTAGGAGCAAGGGATGCTGCAGCCGACATAAAGAGAAAATAAATTTATGTAAGAACAGGAATGAGTCCCCTGTGATTTTTCTATTAAGCAATCATTTCTTAGAATAAGCACAAGATTCAGATCAATAAATCTCCCCTTGTTTCCCATCCACCAGACTCCACGACCCACTGTGAAGACAACACTTGATCTACTATATAGTCAACGGCCACTGTCTGCCTTCACCTTGCTCGCTACTGTGGCTGGCACGGGGATGATGGATGGGTGTGTGGATAAAGGGAAAAGTATAGAAAAATACCTTCTTCTGTACCACTATAATTAATCAGATTTATTACAGTATGGAGATAAAAACAGCCTTCTACTTTTGCTTCTTACTTTACTTTTTCTTCTTCTTCGTCTTATTCTTTCCAAGGCAAAATTTTTATCTACTTGTGTAGAAATTTTGTGATTAGTTCTCAGAAAAAGTACAAATGAACATAAATACATACATAAATGTTTGACATCTCTGGCCCTTAGAGAAAAGCAAATTAAAACAACACTGTGATTCCATCTTACTTCCAGAAAGACTGGCTACTACCAAGAAGTCAATTAATAATAAATACTGTCAAGGCTGTGGGAAAAAGAAATACATGTACTATATTGTTGGAAAATAAATTAGTACAACCACCATGAAAATCATGGAGATTCCTCAGAAAACTGAAACTAGAAATTCCATTGAACCCAGCATCTCCCAGAGTCAAAGACATCACATTGCCATGATGTATGCATAGTCATGTTTATAACCACACAACTCATAATATCTAAAACTTGGAAGAGGCCTATATGCCTATCACTTAAAGGAAGGATAAGAAACTGTGGTATTTACACACAATGGAGTACTACTGTGCTATAAATAATAACAAATTTGAGTAATCTGTAGGAAAATGGGTGTACCTTGAGATCATAATATTAAGAAAAATAAAGCAGATGCACAATCTTAAATATTTCATGGCTTCTCTTTATAAGAGAACTAAAATATAAATAAAGAGCAAAATAAAAGATAATAGGAAGGAGAGACATAGCTCTCCTGCAAAAGGAAAGGGGACCAAGAGATAGAGGGAAAGTAGTGAAAAGAAGGGGATTAAAAAAGAATTAAGATGGGTGAAGCACTTGTACCAACTCCTCACAAGCAATGTAACCATTCTGGACTGCAAATATGGACTAATAATAACCAAGGGAGAAAATCTGTCCGTAACTGGCCAGTTTTTAACCATAGTAAGCAAAAAATTGTCATAAATGGAGTAGAATGACTCAGGTTCTGGGGATCCAGTGAAAAATGTCTCTGTCAAAATTTTATTAGAAAAATTAGTGTAGCCTACATGTTATCTTCTATGTTGGCTAGACTATGTATAACTATCAGAGTGGAAGGAATTAAGATTAGCATCAGGGCTAGAGCTGATGAATCACTCTGAAATGCTTTAAAGTTAAATACAAACAAAAATCAAAACAAAAGAACAACAAAAAAAGAACTGGACTTTAAATATAAAAGTCTGGTTTAGGGGAGTCTTATGATGTATCCACAAGTGAAATGCAGTTCTTTTCAATGAGGGAGGCATGAGTTGTTTTACAGTGAAAGAAGAGATACCGTATTAACCCTGCCATTTGCTTATGCTGATTCCTGTGGGCCCACATACTCTAATCAGAGTCATTTCAGCAACAATTACCTGGTAATTTCACTCTTACTTCACAAGAGAGGTAGGAAAAGTATGTTTTAATTAGTGGATTCTTACCAGTATAATTTCTAAGCAACTGGCAATTAGGAAGTCATAGGTAGAAAGGAATATTCCTTAGCCAACCCTCAGAAAGTTAAGTCAAATGCGGAATGCACTACTCACGGCTCTGCCTGTAGGCTTCTGTCCTCAGCCACATAGTTAGAAGGAATGTAGCCCTGCAGCTGCTGGCCGGAGCTGTCTTCCCTTTTCTCCAAGTGTCTGGCCCACCACCAGCCCTCATGCGAAGTGTCCAGGACTTGGAGTTTGTCACCTGCACGGAAGCTCAGGTCCTCTGTGGTCCGAGCTTGGTAATCAAACAAAGCAACAAAGTACTGGCTGTGGCTTCTCTCTTGTTTCTGCTTTAGTGACTGTGGAGGTTCAGGGGCACAGTGAGCCCCTGGATTCTCAATCACCAATGAGCTGTCGGCATCCTGGGACACACAGGGGAAACAGGGCTGCAAATATGCCCAGACCCTCAAACAGACATTACCCATGATGGCCCAGTCAGCAGAAGGGGAAAGGGGCTTTCTTCTCTCAGTGATCGCAGATCCACCTTTTCCTCTAGCACCAGTCAACTTTGAAATCAGGTCCAATTCACCATACTCTGGAGAAAGTGCAAGTCCTGAGGAGCTGGTTGCAACAGTGAGTAGCTGTCGGGAGATACTCACACTACCTCACTGTCCACAGCCGCAGCTGCTGCCCCACAGCTGAATCCAGTGGAAACTGGGTAGCTGCTCAGTCAGAAGATGCCTGTCTTCCTATCTGCTTGGGAATTCAACAACAAAAATTTAAATTTTAAAAAAAAAAAAGGAAAGAGGATTATTTAGGTAAGAAAACAGCCACTTGCTTGGTATTCCAAGAAAATGTTAGCAAAAAAAAGATGTGAACTCCAGGTCAATTCTCCCACCTGTCCCGTGCATGCAGCTTGCCCTGTTTCAGGCTGCTTGCCTCCCCACTCTAGTCCGGCCAGCTACTTTTTCCTTCTTGCTAATGAGTAACCAACATGCAGAAGCTATTGCTTTTCCCATCCTGAGCGAGGTTCAGACAGCAATAATTTCTCTTTACTTCCTGGTTTCTTTCTGACTGAGATTCCAGTTCTTACCCCTCCTCTCCCACACCCAGGATAGACCAGCCCCCTTGCCTTACCAGGAACCAGAGTCTTAAAGCAACCACCAAATTTATCCTTCTTTTATTTCACCTTGGAGAAACAGGCTAGCTCAGGTAACATTTTGCCTTGCTATGTTCTCAACACAAATTTAGGGTAGAGATTTCTTATTTTCTCCCATAATTAAGTAGGATTGCTTTGCCATTGCTAGAGAAAACAAAAAACAAGCAAACGGGACTATTTTCAGTATATGATGCGAGACACAAGGCACTTAGGAAAGAATCACTGAATCTCTACTTTTTTTTCTCTCTATCACCAGGAATAGATTTTAAGAGCCTCAAAGTATATTCACAGTTCTAAAAAGTAAGAGAATAGGTGGCTAAAACACTGAGCACCTTAAGCACTGGGTTTTTTTCCAGAGACATTTAATTTGCCATTCTTTAGGTACCATTTCTGAATCCCCCCTCACACACACACAAACACACACACAATAACCAATATAGCAAAAAACTAGTGAAAGAGCTTTTTGGGATCTACTATGGAGTTAGCCTGCTATTAAACTTTCACCTCCAGGACTAACTGGTTCTTACTAACTTAGTGATAGTGATGGGCACAGCTCAGGGACAAATGAGACTGAGATCAGAACAGCCACCAGGAGGCAGTCAGTAGCTTTGCTGTCCTCACCCTAGTTAACGGAAGCTGTCTCACAAATGTGTTTCCTGACTATTACCATCTCTGATAAAACTAAACAAAAAAGGGGGATATAAATGAAGGACCATTTACACAAAATAGGCTAGAAATACAGCTACTTTCTCTTAATTCAATGACTAGGAAGATTTGTACTAATAGTGTTTGGACAGGACATCATGTCTGCATCTTGTACTATGAATAACTACTACAAAGACAATAATATGTAATGTATTAGTTATTGTAACTGTCCTACTAACGTGTTTTGAAACTGTCTCATTGCTATTTGTTTCATGATAAAGTTAATAAAAATAAAATGTGTTTCCTAGATATCAAGATCAACTGGGCAGTAAGTCTGCAGAAAACTTGAAATTTGTACTGATTAGAGAACACTCTGAAGCTCTTCATGATGTGCCTTTTGCTTTGGAAAAGGACATTTCTTTTTAAAACTTCCTTCTTAGATCTGGGGTTATAGCTCAATGGTACAGCATATGTTTAGCACCCTTGAGCCCTGGTATAAATATTAGCCACCCTCCAAAAAATATTTTTTTTCTTAAAACAATCTATCCATTTGTTTTCAGAGCCTTTAATCTAACTAATCCACTCCTTAGATGATCTGTAAACTCTCTCCTTTGTTAAGCTGCAAAGGATTTTTAGTAGTTAGAATGATCAAACTTAAGAAAAAGAATCAAAAAACCAGAGCACCATGGCCTTGGCTGGAACTACTACTGCCCTGTTCTAACCCCAGGCACCAGTGGGTCATTTGGCCAGAACAAGGGCTCATGTGCTCCCAAGAGTCTGCAGTTGTCCAATGTCAGAGTAGAAGAAACAATTTGCAAGAACAGGAAAAATAAAACCTAAGCCAAATCTTTGTCATTTTCTTTTTGGAATTTTAATTATCTAATTATACTCTATGTAAAATTCCACATTTTGAGATAAGAGAGAAAATTATAACTATAAAATATTGATAAGCTATAAAGACTATTTTGTTCCAAACTCTAATTTTAAAAGAGTAATATTCTAATAGTGCTGCTAAAAAGAGGTACATATATTGAAGGCTTTTCTGAGACATCGACAAGTTCTAGAAATGAAAGCTTTGGAAGCTGCCAGATATGTACTCAAACCCAATTCATAATTGGGTGTAAGAGTTCAAACATCTGAAGGTTCTCAACTCAGTATGCCTTTATTGTGGTTATGACAAGGCATTCTGGAAAAAGACAAAGCACCCAACCTATACAGAAAAGTCACTGAGCAAGTGAATGAAATCAAAAAAGCACCCAACCATCCAAAGATGTCAGGCGTGCAGTGGCCTGAGGAACAAAGCTAAAGGCTGGGAAAAGGTTTCCTTGTGTCAACAGTGTGAGAATTCTCCAGTCACTCAAGCTTGAAGTCTGAAGTGATCCTTTACTCGCTCCATGATTTCTTTCAGCTAATCAATCACTACAGCCTGCTCAGTCTTCCTTTTCATTTATTCTACAAACTTTTAAAAATAAATTTCTTCTGAATGGACACAGGGCATTAAACAGAAAATAGAATATCTTTCCTGTACTCTCCCACAGACCACCTACCTGATCTTTCTCCCTCTAGCTTATTCCTAGCCCCAGCCCATCCAGCATACCAAAAAAAACAGTGGTACTCATAAGATCTTAGAAAGCAGTTTTTGTAATGGTACAGGTGACTGAGGTAAAAGGAACTCAGTTTTGTAGAACTTTCTGTATGGCAGGCCTTCTGCTAAAAAGTTACAAATGTTACATCAATTAATTCTCATAAAACAAAAACAATACTAATGATAGTATATTTTGTTTCAGAAAAGAAGCTGAGGCTGACAGATTAGCTAATTTGCCAAAAGTTCCACAGCCACCGAGTAGTTCAGCCACAGATAACACCTTGGAGACACTCTGACTTTCAAGCCTGAAGATTCCTAATCCTTAGTTTTACCACTCTCAATTTGTCATTCTCCTATGCAAAATCATTCAACTTCTACAATGTTTGGAATAAAACCTAACCTCATAGCATGGTGTACAAGGCCTCACCAAGTCCACCAACTTAATCCTGCGTGTGACCCATGACTCAGGTCCCCAAACAACCCTTAGTGTGGCACCTTGTTCTTTTTCCTCACCTCCACTTCCTTCTAGCCTGCTGCCTTCTTGCTGCCTTGGGTTCAGGAATCACCTTCTCCGACACTGAGCAGCAGGATAATGTGTATTCCTGAAAGCCTGGCCTATGCTTCCACATAGTGAAAGCACCTTCCTTTCCTTTCTCATGGTTCCCTGAATGTTGAATGCCTCTCCCATTCACCTACTCTATTTTTCAAGCTAGCACTTTGCCTCTCATTCTTCTAGCAATACTTGGTTCGCTTATTTGTTATCTTTCCCAGAAGAACATAATTCTTTTCTGTGACTCTCCAAGGCTTTTTACACTATAGAATATGCAAAGAATAGATATTTGGTGACTGTTGAATTAATTAATTAATTAATTAACTGACAGGGATAGAGACAGGGTTGAGAGAAGGGCAAGGTAAAACATTGAGAGGAAAGGAGTAAAAAAGTAGGGTGAAACAAACTCTTAGCAAATATTTCTAAAACATGAAAAATACCTAGAGCAAAGAGGAGGCAGTGACTTTCCTGCTTTTCAGCACCTTCCTTTCCTTCTCATGGTTCCCTAAATGTTGAATGCCTCTCCCAGTCACCTACTCTATTTTTCGAGCTGGCACTTTGCCTCTCATTCTTAGAGCAAACTGCCACCACATTAATCTTCTTAAATCACTCTTCTGTACAACAACCTTCAACAGACTCTCATTGCATGGAAAATAGGGCTTGGAATTCAAAGCTAAGAATTTGTTCTTTGTTTGGCTTTTATCAGATATACCTTTCAGCATCCCACTCCAGTATGACTCACCACATTAGCTCCCTGCTCAGTCAAATTGGTTTAGTGGGTCTCAGTGAGACCTACTTGCTCACACATGGGAGTCTGTCCCTGTTACCATTCTTTCTCTTAGAGTCTCTTCTCTTTCCAACAGAGACCTGACTGCCTTGCAAGGTCTGAATAAATATCCCACACTTCTGATAGGTCTTCCTCCATATATTCCTGCCAAAATTAACTTCTCTCTGGAATTTTTTTCTAGCTCAACATCACCCACTGCCAATACATCCAACATTAAATGAACTCAGCCATTCTCCTCTATCTGTTGTGTGAAACACGGGTACACAAAACCCACTACTATGTGGCTTTACCTCAGGATAAATCAGTGATCTCTACCTTCTGCTTGACCTACAGAGTTGCTGGACATCCAATTGGCAGTCGGGTCACTGCAGTTTCCTTTGACTTCTCACAACACTATAAAGTCTCCATAATTTTTCTTGAGGTCTCTGTGATGCCCCTTTGTCTAATAACCTTATCACAGGTGTCCACTGAAATCCCAAATCTGTGTGATGTTAACTAATTCAATTTTCTTTTCTTCTGTCCAGAAAAATTATATCTAAAGCTGTAAATATTTTAACTTTTTTTCTCCTGAGACAAAATTTCTATTTGTTTATCTACTATCCAATGTTTTCTCCCTTACTATAGACTGTTACTTTAATAGAAAGAAAAAGCTAAAGACTGCATCTTCCCAACCTCTTTAAAGATGGAAGTGGCCAATAAAGTGAAAGCTTTTGGGTTGGGTTTACAAAAAGCCTTAAGAAACACTCAAATGGGAAAGCTGCTTTTTTTTCTCTCTCTCTTATTTCTTTTCTTTCCTCCTGCCTGGAACTCAATGGAATTAACTGGACATCAGGCAGACATTTTAATTTTCATTTCTCTATAGACCAATGATGTTGAACATTTTTCCATATATTTATTCACCATTTATATTTCTTCATCTGAGAAGTGTATGTTCAACTCAGATGCCCATTTTAGGACTGAGTCTTTGAATTTTAGGAGCCTAATTTTTTTTAAATTAGTTGTATGTTCTAGA